TTTTTATGACACTAACTTTTAATGAGGAAAGAAAAGATGAACAATGTTATGATAATGCTGATAAGATGTAGACAGAAAGGAAGACTAGAAAGGACACTGTGCATTTACTCAGCACAGTGTCAGACACTGTTAACCACGAGGAAGAGCAGTAAGAAACTCCCCTGCTCAAAAGGACTCAGGGAAAAGAAAATCTCTTTTTCAAGTGGTGCTGGGAAAACTGGTCAACCATGTGTAAAAGATTGAAACTATAACATTTTCTAGCACCATACACAAAAATAAACTCAAAATGGATTAAAGATCTAAATGTAAGACCAGAAACTATAAAACTCCTAGAGGAGAACATAGGCAAAACACTCTCCGACATAAATCACAGCAGGATCCTCTATGACCCACATCCCAGAATTTTAGAAATAAAAGCAAAAATAAACAAATGGGACCTAATGAAACTTAAAAGCTTTTGCACAACAAAGGAAACTATAAGCAAGGTGAAAAGACAGCCCTCAGATTGGGAGAAAATAATAGCAAACGAAGCAACAGACAAAGGATTAATCTCAAAAATATACAAGCAACTCCTCCAGCTCAACTCCAGAAAAATAAATGACCCAATCAAAAAATGGGCCAAAGAACTAAACAGACATTTCTCCAAGGAAGACATACAGATGGCTAACAAACACATGAAAAGATGCTCAACATCACTCATTATCAGAGAAATGCAAATCAAAACCACAATGAGGTACCATTACACGCCAGTCAGGATGGCTGCTATCCAAAAGTCTACAAGCAATAAATGCTGGAGAGGGTGTGGAGAAAAGGGAACCCTCTTACACTGTTGGTGGGAATGCAAATTAGTACAGCCACTATGGAAAACAGTGTGGAGATTTCTTAAAAAGCTGGAAATAGAACTGCCATATGACCCAGCAATCCCACTTCTGGGCATACACACCGAGGAAACCAGATCTGAAAGAGACACGTGCACCCCAATGTTCATCGCAGCACTGTTTATAATAGCCAGGACATGGAAGCAACCTAGATGCCCATCAGCAGACGAATGGATGAGGAAGCTGTGGTACATATACACCATGGAATATTACTCAGCCATTAAAAAGAATTCATTTGAATCAGTTCTAATGAGATGGATGAAACTGGAGCCCATTATACAGAGTGAAGTAAGCCAGAAAGATAAAGACCATTACAGTATACTAACACATATATATGGAATTTAGAAAGATGGTAATGACGATCCTATATGCAAGGCAGCAAAAGAGACATAGATGTAAAGAACAGACTTTTGGACTCTGTGGGAGAAGGTGAGGGTGAGATGATTTGAGAGAATAGCATTAAAACATGTATGTCATCATATGTAAAATAGATAACCAGTGTAAGTTCAATGCATGAAGTAGGTCACTCAAAGCCGGTGCTCTGGGACAACCCAGAGGGATGGGGTGGGGAGGGAGGTGGAAGGAGTGTCCAGGATGGGGGGACACATGTGCATCCGTGGCTGATTCAAGGTGACGTATAGCAAAAACCACCACAATACTGTAAAGTAATTATCCTCCAAGTAAAATAAATAAATTACTTAAAAAGGACTCAGAATATAAAGGGGAAACTAGAAATTTTCTCTAACATATTTCATTTCTACCATGACTGTATATAGTTCTGGGGCCTATCATCATCAACCATAAAGTTCTTTGCCTTTATTTTCAAATTTTCTAAAGTTGCTTTAGTTAAACCCTTTAAATGTAATTGGTCATAAAACAGATACTTTGGGTTTTGGAGTGGGATTTTATCTATACACACCCTGTAATTTAGACCAGAGAGCAAACCATTTGTCTGAATATATTACCTGAAACTAGAATTTAACAATTTAGATATTTTAAATGATACAATAAACACCTGTAAAACAAAACAAATTATCATTTCCTCATTCTTTCCCCCTGACTCACCCCACTTTTATGTAATCATAATCTTGAAAATCAAGCTTTCTTGTTTATAAGAATTATATCCTATGTATTCCTTGATAAATGTATTTAGATTATTTCAATAGCTTTTAGCACAATAAAAAAGAAACAACTCTGATGCAATGTTTTAGCACTGTTCATTTAATTATATGTTGCTAAAATTTATCCATATTAGTGTATGTCTCTGTGTACTTTAAATCAATTTTGAGTGCTATATATATTTCTCTTGTGGTAATACCAAGTTTTACGTCTACTCTTCCATTGATAAACATTTGGATTGGTTCAATTTTATGTAGTTGATGGCAATCAACTATCAACTGATAAAATTGATGGTCAATTTTATCAATTGAATAAGTAAAAATTTAAGTAAGTATAAAATAGCATCACCTTGTGGTCTTGATTTGCATTTCTCTGTTTTTTAATAATGCTGACCATCCTTTATATGCTTATTGACTATGTGCATTTTCTCTCCTGTGAAATGTCTACCCCTCTCTCTTGATTCTATTGAAATGTTTGTGCTTTCTTATTGAATTGTAGAAGTTCTTTATATTTCTTGATATTTATTTTGTGTTGATGTTGTATAATGTAAGTATCTTCTCCCAGTTTAGTTATATTTTTCTATTATAAAGAGGTCTTTCAATGAACAGAAGTTTTAAATTTTAATAGAGCTAAACTGATAATCTTTGTTTTTTTATAGTGGTTTTATTTTTCCTTCTTTAAGAAAACATTTTCTACTCTGAGGTCTGAAAAATATTCATATATTCTACTAAGAATTTCAAGGTTTTTGACATGTAAAATCCTAATGCACCTGTAATTGATTATTGAATATTTGTTGTGCTAATTTCACTTTTTTCCCATGAGGGTAGTCATTTTCCCTATCTCCATTTACTAAGAAGTCCCTTATTTCACTGACGTCTGACATGCTACTTTTATCAAATACCAAAGTTCTAGATATGTGCGGATCTGTTTCTAAGCTCTCAACACTTTCCTGTCTCAGTGCCAATATAATTGTCTTAATAACTATATCCTCATAAGAAGTATTGAAACTACATAGAGGTGCTTCCTCTACTATCTCTCAGAAGTAGACCAGCGATTTTTAGTCCTTTATTCTTCTCTTTAGAATCATATATTCAAATTTTGTGAAAACATGTTTTGAAATGTTGATTAGAAGTGAATTTGTAGATCATATTTAAAGATACTATCTTCGTAATTTTCCTATCTATAAACATGGTATATCTCTCAATATTTTTTAGGTCTTTAATATTTATTGATGCAATTCTATTCTTTTCCTTGTAGGAGTTTTACACATTTTGTACTAGTTTTTTAAACAAATATTTGATCTAATACTTAAATTTCATCTATTTTGGGTTCTTTTTCTTGTATTTACCCCTAAATCTAAGATTTCCCTCCTATATTTCTGTCTTTACATGTTTTTGTAAGATATCAAACTAGTAATACCCATTTTGATACCTAACTATTTATCCTCACACTGAGTTAAAAGCAAGTTCCTTTCCTTTTGATGAAATTATTTTAAAAATTTAAGCATTCTAAAGAATCTAATAAGAAAAATGATTAATAACATTTTGTTTAGGCAAAAACATAAAGCTTTAATGATATTTTCCTCTACAAAGGAGATTTTCAATATTGTTATCAGATGAAAGATAAAGAAAGAATACCTAAATGTTGTTTAATGGTTTATATATTTTTAAGAGTACATAGATTTTCTGGACATGGAGAAAAAAAATGTGTCAACTTGCAGTTGGATTTCACAAAAATGAATCTTTGTATAATTATAGGCCTGATTAAACAATACATATTATAGATTAAAACAGTATCACTTATGATAATATAATATTTTCTAATGAAATTTTCTATGTAAAAACACTATTTTCATTTCTGGGCCCAGTGCAAGGTAGCACATAGTTTTGGCAAAGCTAAAATTGAGCATCATAAATGTATACAAAGCTGAATTACTTCTTACATGGTCAAGATGGAAGAATTTGTAATTTTCTTGCGATTTGTCAAAACAAGATTAGCCCTCTGGGGATTTGGATCAATGCTGTTCATGCAATGAAAACTAGGTTCTATTACTCAAATTTATCAGTCATTGTGAACTCTCTGGATTTCTTTTACTGCAGAAAAATCATTGAGAAAAGCCAGTAGGAGAAAATTCAGCTGAGGCAGTACAAGAAAATGTGAATATTGGTTCAATCATTTCTGACAGACTGACTTGTGACATAACTATACACAAAGTGAGCTTTTCACTAACTATTTTCTTGCTATTGTGGACAAATCTGAATTCTTATAATTCCACAAATACACCTATAAACAGATTACACTTGAAAGAAAAATGTATTTGTCTTTCTCAATAAGTATGCAAAATATGAGAGAAAAGCAAGTATAATCTGAATTATTTTAAAGAAAAAAAAATATATGTTTCCGTATGAATGACCAAAATCTTGGCTGTGAAACTGGCCTTTGGCTATACACACATGAAGTCTTTAAACTGGGTATAAATTTAGCTGCCTTTTAATTTCTATCTAGTTTCTTTTCTCCTTTTCTGGAGAGAGAGAGTTAACATTATGTCAGTTCAACTGGAAGAGTTTTGAGTGAAATGGAAAACAAAAAAATTAATAATTGGAACATTAGAAAGTAATTTTAATGACCACAATGGACTGTCAGTTCATAAAACTTCATCATTTAAAACAAGAGAGAAATATTTGGCCTTTCAAAGTGACAATTATGGGATAATCTACATTTATATATATATTTCCTTTGGTTGTATGTTTTAATATGAGTAAAATAATTTTATTTAGAATTATGGTATTGTGTAAATAATTTTTACATTTTTTACAACTAATATACATTATTGCATCATTCTAAGAGTTCATTTTAATGAAAAAACATACAAAGTAATGCAAGAAAATGTGAAAAGTTATATACTATTTGTTTAGCTTGTAACTGGTTTGAATTTCCTATAATAAAAATGCTATACATTTATAGTCCCTGAAAAAGCATAATATTTTGTTGTAAATTTAACAGTAAAGAAGAATCATCGGTAACATCAGATGAGAATAACTTTGAGAATTCAAAGCCTACAGGTAATACTTCTTTAATTTTTAAACAGAATATATTTCTTTTGTTTAAGCCTACAACTAGAACAATCTTACATAGGTACAATTATCTTAACTTTTCAGATACCTATATCCCAACAATTGTTTGTTCTCATGAGGACAAGGAAGACTTGGAAACCAGTAATCAAAATGTAAAAGATGTAAACAGGGCACAGGATGAACGTAATGAAAAAGAATTAGAGCCGATGGTAAGTATTCTGGTTGCCAAGGTATTAGAGAAGATGAATCCATTTATGCTTCAAAGATGCTGCAATGTCTGCTTTTCAACAGCTTCAACTAATATAATTTGCAAATGCGAAAGCATAGCCCGTTCTATCCTTGCGTCTCTGGCTTCATCAACAAGGCTAGTGATTTGATTTCAGTATGTTACTTCAGGTCTCTGCAGTGGCAAATTAATGACATTCATTTCTTATCTCTTTACCAGCAGCTCTGAGTCACAGTTTGTAGGAATTACAGAAGAGGTAGCGCTATCCTGATGTGCATTTCTAATCTTTGTGACAAGTGTACAGTTATCATAAACGCGTCTGTAAAATGAGAGGGCTGGACTGGATGATTGTTAGGGTTCTGTCCAGCTCTACAAGTCTGATTCTTGCATTTAGCAGCTTTTTTTTTTTTTTAACTTACTTCCATCTTTGTGAGAATCTCTAAGTTCTATATCATTGGAAAGTATTAAATTACCAAATGAGGATAAAATAGCTTGTGCTATAATTTTTAAACAGGAAACAAATTCAGAACTGTACAATTTAGTATTAAATTTGTTATCATAAATTTCACACTTCATGAACATTCAATCTATTTGGGATTTTTAGGGGGATGCTTTAGATAGCATTTTTATCACAAAGGAAGAAATAGGAGTAAATGAGTCACATAATGCAATTTATCCTTTACTGTATTTGGTTGGAGCTCATACCATTAGGATACATGGATTCATAATCATCGAAGATTAAAATGACATTTGCCTCTTCAAGTGTCAGTGCTGAAACAGAAAAGAAATAGAGCTCATCTCTTTCCCCACACATTCCACCCTTTCTGTAGTGATATGGAAGCTGCATCACTAAAGTATGCAATTTACTTTGCTCCAACTTTAAGAAACTACAAAGTTGTCACCCACTGTGAGAATTCTCACCAGCTGAAAGTTAACACAGCCATTTTTTTTAAACCACAGAATATAATGAAAGGACTCTGAAAAATCACATACTTCACCAATACACCTCATTACAATGAGCAGGCGCAAATATAAAGTTTGTTTAGAAGTTACTGAGATTGTACGTCCAATAAATGAACAGGGAGCTGTAATTTAGATGCTAATTTGCTCCATGCTGACGTTAATGCATAAAACAATGAAGCTCTATAATAGATGGAAATACAACCAAATCTGTGGAACCCACAGGCGTTGGCTTACAAGACAGCTGTGCAGTTGACAAGTAACATGAGCCTTATGTGAGAAGAAGGGGAAAACGTAAGATTTGCATATAATTATTGAGATCATGCAAATGTCAGTTATGAGGAGAAAAAAAAAACACAGGCATCTCACTGTTAAATCCTGACAGTTGGCATCACTGAAGAGCTCAAATACATTTGAGTACCAGTTGGCAGAGGGTCATTAAAACAGAATTTGCAGAGACATTAACTCCCTCACTTTTCTTTGAGTGACGTTTTGCTATTAATAGTTTGCAGAGGCTTTGCAGAAAACATATTAATAAGAGATACTATAATAGGGGCACCTACAGCAAGTGTAATGCAGCAAGGGGCATCCAGGAAGCTGCTCTCTAATTGATTAGCATGGAGCTATCAATGTGTATATCCTAAGTGAGGGGAAAGTGCAATGACAAGCAGGAATAGCTGAATAATACAATGTGATATTTGGAAGCTGGGAAGAAGAGTTATTAATTTTGGCCCCTTTTCTTATTAAACTCATTCCTAAGTCACAGCCTACAAGAATCTCCCCCAAACATTCATCTTTCAGAATTTGTGCAAAATCTACAAATGAAATGAATCAAGGAAATCTATCAGATAATCACTAGCCAAATTAATGGAAACTATCTAACTTGCTTTGTATATTTAAAAACAATAAAAATCATTATTTTTGTTGTTTTTATCCCTTAAGATAAATCAACACTTGCTAAGAAGTACTGCTTCTGGAGATGAAAAGAATACAGTCAATTTTCCAAATAAAGCTGAGAGGTTAGAGAAGAAGCAAATCCATGATGATGTACACACTGACTTGCTTAAAAGGCCTTTGTCTTCAAGTTCATCAGCAGAAAGATCCTTAAAGGGAGATTTTTACCACAAGGAAAAATATTTCTCAGGAAATAAGCATACTTATCAACATTCAGAGGAATTTACTTCAGATACAGGAGAAATCAAGCCATCATTGGGAAATACTAGTAGTGATGAAGTAGTACAATTACATGTTAGCAGCAAAGAAGTACTGGATGATAATGCTAATCCAGCCAAAGTGAGAGGCAGAGTGCAAATGTCTTGTCCTTCTGCAGACCAACTAATGGCAGACAACCTTAACAAAAAACTTGAAGGAGAAGCTAAAGAAATTGAAGTAAAAGATTGGGAATGTTTAAAAGATGACTTTCGCTTGGATTTCCATTCAGAAAAATCGATAGAAAAAGGATCTTCCAAGAAAGATTATGGCAATAGTAAGAATGAGGAGGAGGAGCAAAGAGTATATTTAGGTATTAATGAAAAACAAAGTAAAAGTTTTCAATCAGTCTTACATGACCAAGAAAGAAAGATGAGCCACTCTGAAATAAGTGTGGAAGGGATGGGAGCCAGTAACAGAGACCTAACTGCTCTGCCGAGTAAAAACACCACAATTCATGACCAGTCAATCAGAGCAGATACGTTTCATTCACCAAGGACAAATCTAAGCCTGGAGGAAACTGTGTCAGAGGCCTCAGACTGTGATCTCTCGGCTAGCAAAGGCACTAGTCTAGGAGGGATGCCTGGTCAAGCTGGTTCACCAAGAAATGGAAATGTTTTGAGGAATAAGTACCTTTTCCAAGCTGAAGAAGAAAAATCAGTTTGGATTAATCCTGAAGATCAGAATAAGAACACACAGCATAAACAAAGTTGGAATGTTCTGGAAAGTCAGGAAAGAGCAAGAGGGAGTAAGACAACTATAACAGAGCAGTCCAAAGAACAAGCAGATTATGAAGACATGTGGGGAAAAAGAGATGATACAAGGAGCTTGAAAGTTAATCCTACACAAGAATTGTTTACCTGCCAAGAAACAGCAAGCTGTGAACTGTCTTCTCTAGCTGATCATGGTATTACTGAGAAAGCAGAAGCAGGTACAGCTTACATAATTAAGACAACATCAGAAAGTACTCTAGAATGCATGTCTGCTAGAGAAAAAGCAATAATTGCTAAGCTACCTCAAGAGACAGCACGAAGTGACAGGCCCATAGAGGTAAAGGAAACAGCGTTTGATCCACATGAAGGGAGAAATGATGATTCACATGATACCCTTTGTCAACGAGATACAGTAGGTGTAATCTATGACAATGATTTTGAAAAGAAGTCATGTTCAGGTATTTGTAATGTACATGTAGATGAAAAGGAGAAGGAAGAAACCATAGCTGTATATAATGCTGGGAAGACACATGACAAGAAGAAATGTGTCATTGGGAATACAACATCTGTAGAAGAATCCTCACAGGTCATTACAGGCAATCAAAAAGCAGCCTCAAAACTAGATTTACATTTGGGAATGTTACCAACAGACAAAAAAATACTTCCAGAAAATAGAGATCATGAGCAGGTCCAAGAATTATCAAAGAGAACAAATATAGATGCCATTATTCATTCTTCTTTAAACTCAGACACTAATAGAACTTCTCAGAATGGCTCTCAGTTTTCCAATCACCATGCTAAAAGTTCGGTGTCATCTCACGAACAGGCCACTACTATAGAGCATGCAAGTTCTACCATGACGCTCCAATCTACTTCTAAGTCAGAATATAATTGTAATCCAACAAGTGAAATCCAGGGTACTGAAAAGCACTCTCATCCTGCACCTCCACTGGAAGAAGTTTCTAAAAGTTCAGGAATAGTGACATCAGGTAGTACAAAGGAAAGATGTATAGGCCAGATTGTCAAACAAGGAGAATGCAGTGTGGAGAAACCTCTAGGGCCAACGATTTTAATCAGTGAAGCTTCTGAGAACATAGAAGGGGTAAGGCATGAAAATGAAGGATTAATAAACTCTGGACAATCACTGTACTCTTCAGGTGACAAGGAATCTGACAGCCCTGCTTCTGATAGTCTCCCTGCCCAGGAAAGTCAATCTCAAAGTGAATCTCTGCTTTCAAAATACATCAACTCTAAAGTACCTTACTTCCTTTTGTTTCTGATATTTCTTGTAACCATCTATCAGTATGACTTAATGATTGGCTTGGCCTTCTAGCTTTTTTCATTGTACCGGCTATGCTGGGAAGGGGGAAGACAAAAAGAGTGTGTCAAAAAGAAGGAACCTCAGCACTATTATTGCTCTCTTAAAAGATAAGCTATTTAGCCCCAAACATTTGGATTGGTGAAAGAGACTATTCATTGTTCAAAGAGCCAGTGCAGTTTTTCTCTTGAAGGATCATTTAAAAAGGAATGCGTATGAAGTTTGCTCCTTCATATAAGTAATTATTCTATATAGGACCATTATATTTGGATCATTAAATACCTATATGAATATGAGATCTGAAGCACGTCAAGTTGAAATTAGGTACAGCTGTTGCTCCTTAGCAGGCTATGAAGTTTCAATGCTTCATGTCTCTTCACTACTTAAAGTGCCATTTCTTGCATTCATTTCTTTTGCAGTAAAGCTTCATTTTTTTCCCTGAGCGTATTTTTCCCTCTGTGGTTTTTAAAAATAGATAAAACACGGACAATGACAGAGGACTTTTTTTGGTCTTTGAATATTGACCATGAAATTTGCATTTACCACTGTATCATTTATCAGCACATTTTGATAAATCAAATCTTTCAACTTTAAGTTCATATTTTTAAGGACAACATCCAAGCATAGATTTAAGTTGAAGAAACACATTGTGTACCTGAACAACATATATACACATATATACGTTTTATCTCCTGCATACCTACAAAGTCAGGGCATTTGTAAGCCACATTTGCCAAAGACCGAAACAATTAAAAGATGATCTTTCAGTTTTACAAAATTAGGGGGATGGCCTTTCTTTAAGCAATATTTTTTCTCTTTTAAAGGAAGATTGTATAACACAGTTGAACAACTTTGACGTCAACTATTATTCAGAGTTGGAAATTTAAATTAAAAGTTCTACAAGCATTGCTTCAGAATGAATTTGTACCTATAAAGCATAAAGCATTAAGTGATAATAATTAAAAAAAAGATTTACAAAAGAACTACTCGGTATTTTTTTTTTGTCTTCAAGCAAATTTTTAACTTTTCTCACTATAAAACAATAAATTATTCCTCAAGGTGCTTTAAGAGAATAAACTAATCGTTGGTGATAGTCATATAGTTACCAACTTGTTAAATGATAACTCAAATTTTAAAAAGTCAAATAGGCAGGCAAGATCTTCTGATAGAGAAATGAATATCCAATATACCAGTGACTTTGGTTGCTGCTATTAGCTATGGCTAAGTATGTGAAATAATGGAACTAATCATTTTAGTCACATAGGTATAATGAAATTATTACTATACAATCAATTTTCAGCAACTATTTACTAAATGACTAAAATGTGCAAAATCTTGTGCTTTGTTCTACAATAGAGCACTTCCTTTGATACCCCAAACAGCTAATCCTCAGGGAGGAGGCATCAATAAGTAATCTGATGCTTTTGCCTTGGTCAGAAATATGGGAGAGAGTCACACTGAGGGAGCACATTTGGGTGATTTCTTTTTAACAGGAACTTCTTTCATAGAGAATGTAACATTGATCTTCAGAGAGAAAAGGTAATCTGTTCATGGACCTACAAAGGTGAATTCAATGACTAACACTAGTACACAGCATCCCACACTCCTAAGAAACAGGCATGTGTGGGAGGACCACACGAGAAGGAAGCATTTAATCTGACTTTCATGTGGTAGGAGATAGCTTCCTTAATTTTCTTAGGTTTAAGACAACTTTCTTAATTTCTTAATTAGGTACACAACTATTTTCAAATCCCCTAATTGCATGCTTGACTCAAGTCCCATTGAAATTGAATGCTTGACTTTAACTTTTTAGTTGAACAAATACAAACATCCTGAAGTAGAACTGAGGGCAAATATTTGATTGTTTGAGAAGGCATTTTTCATTAAATACAAGTGGGATACTGTAGCTGTACTTGGAATATTATCTCTAAAACTGCTATCTTGATAATTTTGTTGACAGGTCTGTATTACAACAAAGTTAAGGTTAGCATTTCTTCAGTTCTGAATGACTTGGCTTTTGCATTCTACCTTTAAGAGTTTCAGTCAATATGCAATATCTTATTAATGCAAAGAACACTATATTACTTTATGAACACAGGTGTCTGAACTGTAATTATTTTCTTATACATAAAAGAATGTAACGTCTTTAATCTCTTTTATTTGACTTTAACATTAACTTACTAAACCTTCTCATGCATACTTGCAATACTACAAAGAAGTTTCAAAGGACTTAAAATACATCATGTGTACTTCTCTGCAGGCAAAAAAGAAATAATCAGTGGTTTAACTGATTTTCCAATGACCACTTGTGAAGAATTGGAAATAAAATCATAAGAACTATAAAACTATTGCTAGGTGGAGGGGAGGTAGATTTTTGCAACCCATTTTGGTCACATCACTATGTTGGACAAGAAAAGTGGATCTCAGGAAGAACTGGCAGCCCCTGGTTAATAAAGATTTGACTCACATTTGGTCACATTTGATCACATTTGTTCACATCATAACAAGGATCACCTTTATAAGCTTAGCTGCCTTCATCATGTCCCCTCAAGTATTGGTTAAGAGCCAAAAGAGGATGTGTCATGAGAATAAACAAAAAGAAGTGTATTATTGCATATCTGTTTCTATAGTGGGTAAGAAACATGATGTAATAACCATCACCTTTTATCTTGCTGGACTTCTGACTATTAGAAACAAACTTCTAAAAAGTAATTGATGAGTCCAGCAGGTGTAGGTAGTACAATCAAATATCTTTAAAAAATCACATCTACATAAGCCACCAACATCTCAACAAACTTTTCAATGTAAGAATAAATGAGTCAATGAGATGACATTCTCAACCTTCAAGAATATTGGCTTAATGCTATATATATATATAAATATATATATATATAAAATCATCATTTTGTAAGAGAGATAGGATCATCTTTTATATGTCATCATAAACCAATCTTCTGGTTAAATGGAAAACTTAAAAATATCCAGTGTAGATACAGGGAAATAAGTAAATTTTTTTCCAAATAGCATTCATGATACTTTCTTGGTAATTTTTTAGTCATGGAATATTATTTTATATTGCCAGGCCTGCTGTCTTCTTTATTAGGCTCAATTTTTGCACATAAATTTTGGCAAAAAAGCAAACAAAGCAAAACAAAAAACTAGCAGGAGAACTAGTGAAGATGCAGGCAGGAGAACAGCCACCCCCAGAGTCAATTCATCTACTGAACTCTGAAACCTTTAAAATTTTCAGAGTGAATACAGAAATTGATCTAGGCAATAAAGACTGTGGTTTGCTAATTAAGTTCTGTCTTAGCTGATTCCATGGAACTGAGAAATAGGATCTACTGTGATTCTGCAACAAGGTAAGAAAAGAATAGGGCAGGACATGCTCTTCCAACATCTACGCAGTTGTACTCCTACATGAAGAGAACAGCTTAAAAAGTTACTTTTATTTATTTAATTAATTTGCCTAATTTTTTTCTATTTCAGAAATAATTCATAATAAAACTCACAGAAATGTAAGTTACTTTTCATCTTTTAAAAATGGATTCAGTCACTAATAAAATATATTTCCATAATTTTACCCAAACCTCTTTAAAGAGCTAATCAAATTTTCACTAGCTTTGAACATGTTTTATAAGTAATGTCATTACTATACTATGCTAAAACTTTATTAAGCAAACAACTCTTTAAAAAGTTCAGTATTTTTATTTTGTGTCAATTCTATATTTGTTAGATACCTACATACTACCTTCATTTGTCAGATATGAAACAATGTTTTATATGAAAATTTAAGAAAAAATCAGCTAAGTCTTTTCCTAATATATTCAATTCTTTTATTCAAGATAATAAAGAGTAGCATGGGTAAGCAAAAAATGGATTACAGAGAAATTATTTTTGTTTGGCTGAGATGATGCCAAGACCCGATTTTGCAGCATACTTCAATGTCTAATTAAGTTACTGGTCTTGGTTGGAATCAGTGCATCATCCTTATTACCTCATCTGAACCATGCAGCCCTAATTTCCATCGGTCTTTGCTTCAAGTCTTCTGTCAGTCAAGCAGCTCACACTGTCCCAAGAACATGCCATGTTCATCTGTTCCTCTGTGTCTGCTCATGTACACTTCTTTGTCTAGAAGATTTCAGTTATCTTTCCTCCTCTCCTCCTTCCCAACTCTGTACATTTTTCTATCTTACTACTTTAATCCTTTTGAAGTCTACTATTTCAATTGGTGGTATCTCTTCATTTTCAGGTCTCTTATGACACTAACTGTTGTGCATGCACTAGGAATTTGACTAATTATCCTAACTGGACTGCCTGTTTATTTAGGACAGGAACGTGACTTCTTCCATCCTATCACTTCACAAGGTCTAGCTTATAGGAATCCATAGTTAATACTTGTGAATAGAATAGAATTGTAGCAATGTCTTTTTCCTATCCTATCCTTGAAATGTGGACAGGATACTCTGAGATCTGATTAGCAAAGCTAAAACATTTTTGTATTAATAAGCCATCAAATACAATGTAGAAAAAGGCAAAGAAAATGTATCTACAAGACAGAGTGGTGTGGTGGATTTGGGATGTGGGAAAGGGAAAAAAAAATCTTTTCTTGCATACCTCTTAGCAATTAAATTGTTTTTCATATTAATTCTTCCTGGCACAGGAAACAGTCCCTTTGTTCTATTTCATGGGAAATATTATATAGATTATTTGTTAAAAGAATAGTAATGAATACCTAATTCACTGGCTAATGTGAAAACTAATAGAACAAGATATGTCTTCAAATAAAGAAGCTTAGTAGATTAAAAACCAACAGACATCACAAGGTATAAAGTGTAAGAAACTCAATCTTCCCAACTGCTGCCATGCCCTTCAAAAATGGCTGATCTCTCAATTTCACACCTGTTCTGCATGTCAACTTTTAGGATACACAAACAGAACAACTAGAAAAGATAGTAAGTGGATTTTTTAAATGGAAACATTTGCCTGATTAGCAAATGAGTTTATCTATATATACCTCAAACACACACACATATGCATGCACACATACACACACATAAATGCACGTATTCTAAGATCTAATAAATGACAGCAATGATAGTAAACTAGTAAGCAGTCTACTAATATCATATGGAGTGATATAGTAGTGAATATAATATGATATTGAAAAGGTTTATCTTTCCTTTGAACAGGTTCATTCTATTAAATTTAGATATGAAATTAATTTTATTTATTTATTTTTGGCCATAGTACACAGTATATAAAATCTTAGTTTCCCAACCAGGGATTGAACCTGTACCCCTTGTATTGAAGTGTGGAGTCAACAGTAGACCATCAGGGAAGTTCCTAAATATGAAATTAAAATAACACAAAGCTATGCCTGTTTAGCAGGTAGAGTCTAAAGGAAAGCAGTATAAGGCCTAGAAATGTAGTAGCAAGGCATTTAGCAGCTTAAGACCATTAGACGATTTTTTAAACTCAAGATTTTTTTTAAAAAGCCAAATACATGTCTAGTCTATTGTAGAATTCATCAATATATGTATCAGTTGACTTGGTTCTGAGTGGAAGCAGATTTAAAATTCCCTAAAGATACACTCTATAAAACATAATATCAAACAACAGAGACAGCGGGTTTTACAAAATCACTACACAAGGTTAGAAATTCTCTTTGTAAACACTTAACCCATAACCCACTTTTAATAATTCTATGTAGATAGCTTTTATGTACAGTTAATAAAAATTTTTAGTGTATGGTATTTATGAATATATCTTACATCTAAACCATTTTTATACATACAGTCAACAAATGATATTTGCTACTACATATTAAGCAATTCTTTACAGTTAATCCATAAATCTTTGGGAACATTCAGTTGTCATTTTTCATTATGCACCTGAACTTTGTGTTTAATGAAACAATTCTAAGCCCTACCTAAGAAAAAGAATAAAAGCTAAAGAAAAGATAATTTATTTCCTATCTTCACAGATATGAGCAGGTATATTTTAAATACATCTTTACTCTTTGAAAATTGGAAAGAAAAATAAGAGATTATAAATGTCATTCATATTTATTTCATAGTCTTTAGTATTTGAGATCAGGCATATTTTAAGCCTTTTTTCCTTCCATTTGAATTCTTTGGCCTACATGATCTTACTCCCATGTTTAAATTAGTATTTAAGTGCAGCATGTTAATGTTTTATTACAAGAATAAGTAAAGAAATCAGTTGTAGCCTGAATCTTTGAGTATAACATCTGTAACTGTATCTTTATTGACCTATGCATGTGAGGTTCAACTTTTAACAATAATAGATAGTAATAGTTATAATGACTATTTTTATTACACTATAATAGCCAACTCTTGAGTGTTAAATATAATTGGGCACTGATTTAAGTTCTTTATGTGAAAAACTCATTCATGTTTTACAACTTCATGAGAGAAGTACTATTACTTTTCCATTTTATAGATAGAAATAGATGCACAAAGGCTAGTTTTCCCAAGGTCATATCCTGGCATAGATTAAGACTCCAACAGTCTTTCCCCAGAGTTGATCCTCTTGAACATTGCACCATGTTTTTCCTTCAATTTATATATACCAAGTTATCTTAAAAACTGTAGTTATATGTTACCATGCTGCATGGTGCTATACTAGTATAGTATATAAATATATTACATACTGCAAGATATGAGTATACCATATCTCTCCCACAGATGATAATATCTTTGTAATGCTCTTATAAAGAAAGTTCTTAAAAATATTCTCTTCTCATCAGTTTATTCAAATGACCTAAAAAAAATACACATTGACCTCCTTCCAAGCCACAAGCTTTGTGCTGGTCCCAAATCTTGCCTAATTTGAGTATAGTGAAGATAGAGTTCAATAATTGCAATATCTTGTTGCCAGTTCAACAGTAGAGGTAAGATCTGGGAACAGAAGTTGAACAAAGGAAGAACTATTTTGTCCTGTGAGGACTTTGCTTCTTATATTCAATATTTCATAAATGTGTTATCTTTTCACCACTATAATTTTTGGTATCAAGGAAATCATAATAAAACCTTCCAAATGTCCCATTATAACTGGTGTATTACATAACAACTACAATGAGGATACATATTGATGTGACTGCTATAGTGCTTATTTATGATTGATGTCTCAGTGTAATTATTACCAGCATTCCTTTCACTTTCAAAAGCAATGTGAGTTGGATGAAAAATGAGGTCAGCCGAAAAGTCCAAGAAAATATCCTACTAATAGGTGTATTTCACTCTGTGTCACAAGAATAAAGGGGGAACTTCCTATATGAACATCATCCATAATCTACTGGCAGAATTCCTGTCCTTAGGTTTGTATAATATAATTCAGATATACTATTCCCTGGTCAGCCTAGGTAAAGAAGAACAACATTTCTGCAGATTCAGTATTGCAGAGGGCAATTAAAAAAAATGTAGGGACGTTTTGTAAAGAATGTGCTGGTCAAAATCCATTAGAAATAAGTCATTTATATTACTGACACTGGATAATCATAACATTTTGGAATCTGATACTATAACCTAAAGCCTACTGAGATGGCTCAGGATATGATAATTCCGTCATTCAGTATAGTAAAAGTAAAACAAGATGGAAGAAACTTATGCCAAAGTTGTGGAAGCCATTGTATATTACTCAAAATTATAATGGCATATGTTGCTGGAAAGTGTATTATGAGTATATGTGTTGTTCATAATTTGTAAGAGGAACAAAATTTTTGTACATAAACTACATATTACTGACATTTAATAATCATGAGGCAAGACAGTAGTATTTTAACAGCAAAAATTAAAATATAAACAAATAATCACAAATAGCCAATAAGAGACAAAGACATTTTAAAGCAGAATGAGTGTCACTCCATCTAGTTTTGGCCTTTGCAATAACCTTCACTTTTAGCCTCACTTCACACAGGTGTGCTGTGCTAACATTGTGAATGATATTAGGTCAGTATTTCTTTCACTTCTGCTTAGAGGGTGTGCATTGGAACCTTATCCAAAGAACAATGATCATAATTTAAGACTGCAAAATATATTCATAATTAATGAATGGCAAAAAGCTAGCATAGTTGTCCTTGTTGCTATTTAGTCAGTAAGTTGTGTCCAACTCTTTGCAACCCCATGGACTGAAGCCCACCAGGTTCTCTGTTCATGAGATTTCCCAGGCAAGAATACTGAAGTGGGTTGTCATTTCCTCCTGGAGGGGATCTTCCTGACCCAGGGATTGAACCCACATCTGCTGTGTCCCCTGCATTGGTAGGTGGATTCTTTATCACCAAGACAGCTAGCAAGATGTATGCTCCCTAAAATAGAATTCTCCAATGGCAGTCTTGCACCCTAAATATATATACCCAAAAGTTAGCTGTTAAGAGTTCCCTGGATCTCAATTCTTAACTCCTAGATGAGAGAAATTTATTCAGATGTTCGTTCTAGATCCAACCCATTGTTTCCCAGTAACTGGAGGCAGAGGGTGACAGAGGGACTCACTGTAAAGGAAATGTTTGTAGGTTCTTGAGGGGTAGGTGGGAAAATGGAATTTGTAATGTGTGTCTCTAAAGTGCCAATTTTTATATTTTATAGATATATTTCTGCCTCTTTTTTTCATTTTGTAGATTTAAATGGCCCAAATTTCTATAGATTTATAGTAGATATTGATACTAGGTAAGGCAAGTTCCTATACATTGTTCTTTAAAACTCTGTAACTCTTGCCCTTTGCTGTTCTTCCACAAAAATTGTAGTATCAACTTATCAAAGTTTCATGAAAAACTTAATTTTTAATGTATTTTTACTGAATGTACACATTAATTTGGGCTCCCTGATGACTCAGATAGTAAAGACTCTGTCTGCCAT